ACGAAGACCAGATGAAGCATTTCATCCTGACGGTGAGCAAGTTCAGGGTTTAAACCGGAGGTGGGCCTGTCATGATTTGGGGACGTTTTTCTTATTATGGATTGGGTTCCTCACTGAGGTGGTCGATAAAGTGAACCAACAGGTTTATTTGAACATTCTGGGTGATCAGGAATTGCCTTTTAGTCGACATCCTCAGGAATAGTGTGCTATTGATACCCCAATTTTTCAAGATGACAACAGAGAATATGTGACTGGTTTTATGAACACTCAATTGCATCTCAACTGACCTGTAAAATCCCCTGACTTGAACCCCAATGAAAATTTGTGGGACACGTTGGAACTACAGATAAAAAGCCGAAATCAATTACCTCGCCATTAGAAGGATTTGCCTGATCAAATCCTCAGCGAGTAAATTAAACTGGATTCGACGTACCTGAAACACCTTGTGGTCTCACTTCCTAACTGAATCCAGGCGATTATCAAATCAAGAGGCGGTGTTACACGTCATTAAATGATGTTTATTCTCATGATTTCTCTAAGGGTTTGTCCGGTGTGCTTAGTATACAACTTATATAGGCTACGATTGCAGTAATAATAATAAATTATACACATTACTGCACAGAGCTTCATTTGGACAAGTTTCAAAATTTCATTTGCGAGATTGACACGAAAACGAATATATTGGCATTAAGTCTTCCCTGATTTTTTTTATAGTTACTATCTTTGATGTGAATTTCCGTCCAATGCACGTCATTGTTTGATTTTAATTCCTTAATTCCGCATCTTGTGGGTTGATTTCCAATATTAATTAACTGGCTAAGAAGACTGAGGAGCTAATTATATGTTATGAATACTAATCTCTCTTATTGTTATTTGATTTATTTGATTCTTCTTTCTTTGATGCAGCCGTAACTTCTTAGAATTTAAGATTGTTTTTATTATTTAGTTTAGTCACGTTTATAATAGTTTTATGAGACTGTTTAAATTCTTTTCCGCTTTTTATTTTGTAAAGCCTTCTGAATTTCTTTTCTTTTATAAGTTGGTGTAAAGTGAGGTTCGCCTGTTATTTAACGAGATGGTTACAACATCAAACCTCACCTCCTGACACACATCAGCTTCTTGATACATCTTCACAGACTATAAAGCAAATTATCTGACGATATATAGAATAAAATGTCAATGAAAAATGTGCGCAATCAATGAAAAGAAAATAAATTGTTAGTTTACCAATGTGCTGGTTCCGTTGGCAATTCCTTGAGCACAATCATCCCAAGTTTCTTTGGTATTTGCCAATCCGTGGAGAAGAATCGATGGAGGATGCTTGAAATAAAATTTATAATTTTCTTAAAAATTTTATTCCTAAATATATTTTAGGTACCAAAACTGTAAAAAACAATTAAAATTTAAACAAATAAAAATTTTAGAAATTACGTTTTTCATTGAAATGATAGAAGGAATTTTTTTTTATATATTTCCCAGATAATAATCGAAAAACGTAAGAAGTCTCAATGGTATATGACGGAAAAGACGCGAATAAATTATGTATTATGTTTGACATAAATGAAATTTAATTTCTTTTTTTAGTTTGCTCAAAACATGTAGTTCATTCGATTTAGTTGAGTGTCTCTGTTACTTTGTTCATGCCGATGTATCTATGGGTGATTAAATGATGACAAATAAGTATATATCAGGGATGGCGAACCAATGGCACGCGTGCCATTTACGGTACGCGACACAATATTTTGGGCACGCCACCGATCACTATTGTTATTTCACTATTAATTGTTATTGCACAAATGTTATTACGCTATGAAGCATATGTAACAATTAAATTAAAATTCACAAAAAACAAACAAAATAATAAACAATTATAAATAAAAAAATTAACAATTAATGCTAAAAAAACAATTAATAACCATAAAAAACACGCTAACAATAAATAACTAGCAGAAAAATCAACAGTTCTGCTTAAACTAATATCTTACAACCTAATATAAGTTATTTGTCATCTAATCTGCAACAACAGAAGTCCCACTGATGTTACTTTAAGTTGAATTACGCGTATAGCTGAGACATTGCAAAATGTATATTTTTTTTCAATGTAAATAAAGTTCTGGTTTGATAGTATTTAGTATTATTATTTTCCCAATAATCATGAAGTCAAAATTATTTGACGGCACGTCTGTGACTTCATTTAAAAAATTTTTAGAAAAAATGGCACGTTGGTGTATAAAGGTTCGCCACCCTGGTATATATTATGAATGTTAGTGTGAATGACCGTAATCAAGAGAATGTCGACTTTCACCGGTGAATGTCAACCATCACATCGTCGCTTTGGCTAATGTCGGAAATATTTGTTATATCTAATTTGATATTCATTTTTCGTTGATTTTATTATTTTTATTCGATATTTTAATATCTACTGAGAATAGATTAGGAGAAACATCAGCTTTCGAAGTACCGAGCAAATGTATAACGGGCAGTAGTACTTAACCAGACCTAGTATAGATTTCGGACCAAAGCGACTATGTGATTGTCCACATCCACCACTTTCGGTCCTTCACAGTATTATACGTATAAGCTCACCGGACAATCTCTAGTGTGCAAGCACCGTTCTATAGTTAGGTTTCGATAGATGACGCAGTGGGTAAATGACATTTCTCAACTGCTTCAAAGTGATCAAAGGCATGTAGCCATCATTGAGATATTTTTGTTTTAAGCTGAAATTGTGTGTAAATATAGGCAAGGATGTGATAGTGGGGTTAAAAGGGGCAATTATGTTTGGCAGTGCCCACGGTTATACGGGGAATGAAGTTTCTGGATTTGTTGGTGTTTCAATAGGAACTGTCCAACGTGTCTGCAAGCAGTGATGTAGTACTCGTGGTCACAAAAGACGACGTCAGAATTGTGGCCGGAAAAAGATCTAGCATGAAAGGGACCGGAGACGTGTTTCACGACTTTTCAATTAAAATCTTTTCCAAATCCAACAGGAATTGCTTTAGTTAGTGAATGAATGTTCATCCCAACCTGTTAGTGAGAGAACATTGCAACGGGAACTAAATGCAATAAACATTTGGAGTCAAACACCTCGTAAGATGCCATTGCTCACACAGGTGCATAAAGCTGCGTGACTTCTGTGGGCGAGAAGTCACGGAACGTGGACAATAGCTGACTGGCGAAATGTAATAGGGTCTGACAAATCACGTTTTTACCTTCATTCAAATGACCCACGTCGTCGAGTGCAACGAAGACCAGATGAAGCATTTCATCCTGACGGTGAGCAAGTTCAGGGTTTAAACCGGAGGTGGGCCTGTCATGATTTGGGGACGTTTTTCTTATTATGGATTGGGTTCCTCACTGAGGTGGTCGATAAAGTGAACCAACAGGTTTATTTGAACATTCTGGGTGATCAGGAATTGCCTTTTAGTCGACATCCTCAGGAATAGTGTGCTATTGATACCCCAATTTTTCAAGATGACAACACAGCAAAGTTCATCGGGCAGGAAGAATATGTGACTGGTTTTATGAACACTCAGACACTCAATTGCATCTCAACTGACCTGTAAAATCCCCTGACTTGAACCCCAATGAAAATTTGTGGGACACGTTGGAACTACAGATAAAAAGCCGAAATCAATTACCTCGCCATTAGAAGGATTTGCCTGATCAAATCCTCAGCGAGTAAATTAAACTGGATTCGACGTACCTGAAACACCTTGTGGTCTCACTTCCTAACTGAATCCAGGCGATTATCAAATCAAGAGGCGGTGTTACACGTCATTAAATGATGTTTATTCTCATGATTTCTCTAAGGGTTTGTCCGGTGTGCTTAGTATACAACTTATATAGGCTACGATTGCAGTAATAATAATAAATTATACACATTACTGCACAGAGCTTCATTTGGACAAGTTTCAAAATTTCATTTGCGACACGAAAACGATTTCCAAAAATTATTCTACGCATAAGTAAGGGTTTTTAGAAACGCTGCGGTAGAATTTCGTTTCATTAATTTGAATGTTGGTTTTCAAGAGTTCCTCAACATCTTTCCATAGCATTTGGAATTGCATCCTGTACTGATTTGCTCAGCGTTTTTTTAATAGTTTTTCCCCTTCATTTTCCAGTTTTTCATTGGAAACTTACAATTATCTATTTTATTTTCCTCATTCACATCTGGTGAGTCTTGAGAATAGGTGACTATTTTTGAGCTCTCGAAATATGCAGACTTTTTCCACTTTCATAATTTCTAAAATAAATATTTTTGTTTTACTTTGTGTGATCCTTGAGTATTCTATTTAAGTGAAATAAACTGTAGAAAGCAGAGTTGATACAGAAACACGACTCTCCATTCTACCATAATTAGGATTGATCAGTTTTATATACGTTTCTTAAGTTCATTTATTTATTGCATTTTCAATGAAAACGTATATTAAATTTTGTATCACTCTATCATTATTTTAAAAGTTTCAAGAAGTCAAATTAAAATTGAAATTTCCAAAAAAAAAATTTCTATTCAAAACGTTTGTGTTGTTACATTTTTAATCAAATTAAAGAAAATTGAAAAAAAAAAAGGCTTTCAGAAGGTAAAAAAGTTTTAAAAATACTCATTAAAGTTGACAGAACGCTCCAGTACAAAGTACTTCGAGTAATTTTATTTCATGCAAGTTTCAACTCACATTTATAGGGAAATACACTGAAATATGAATCAAATTGTCGAATCTAAATTTAAAATCGATGATTCCTGAAAGATCTCCTTCGAAAATTGTTATCATTAAAGAATTGAATTTAAATGACTTAAAATTATATAATTTGAAATACTATGTGAAATACTAGGATTATGTTTCCGAATGCTCGTAATTCAGAATTCGATAGAAAAATCATGTATTAAGATGAATGAAGTCATTCTTACCCTTTCATCTAAATGTTCAGCATCATCATTTTCTAGATTTGTTTTCCTGTTGTTAAAACCATCTGACCATTGTTTGGAGAATTTGTCTGGTGAAAATACTTTATAGGCGAGATGAACTCCACATCTTTAATATATATATATATATA